GCAGGTGTGATATCAGTTTACACTACACCTGTTTATATTCTTTTTTAGAAATAGCTGCTACATCTTGAGGTGTTTACTGAAATAGATTATGGGAAAAGGAAACATTATTAAGGGGATTCAAAGTGTCTATTGCATTAGTAGCCACTTTCTATCCCCTGATGGTCTTCATAAAACAAAAAAAATGTATTTGATTGATTAAATCCAGGTAATCTGTCCCTCAGAACATCTAAAAGCATATTTTTTTTTTCCTGTTTCTTGTACCCCACCTTTCAAGTAATTTCCCCACGGGGATTATTAAAGTATTTCTGATTCTGATTCTGATTCTGATACCCAATCAAGAAAAGTCAAATTTTGCGAGTCTCTCTGTCACAATATCTTACAATATATCTGCATTATACCCCTTTGTAGCTTATGCATTACTTGGAAAAGGTCAACTTTACGACACCATTTGGTGATGAAGTGTCATTTGATGAAAATGGTGATGCCTTACCAATATATGATATCATGAACTGGTTGTGGCTCCCTGATGGAAGAACTAAAGTTCAGAATGTGGGTGAGGTTAAGAGATCGGCCTTCAAAGGTGAAGAACTCACACTTAAGGAAGACAAAATCTTCTGGAACTTTGACTCCAAACAGGTTATTAGTTATTTTTATTGTTGTTTTGGCCTCAGTACTGTATGCCAAACAATAGACCTTTTCACAGCAGCCATTTTTAAATGAAATAGTAGGGTAAAAATAGGTGTTAGCCATGCTACTAATTAAGGTTCTGTTCCATTTAGTGTAGCAGGCTCCAATGAGCCAACATGCACAATAGCAACACCCTGACTGTTTGACCTGAATGGAACAAAACCTTAATTAGTATTATTAGTAACATCTGTGTTTACCCTACTATTGTCAAAATAGCAGCTGTGAAAAATATCAAATGGTGCAGAGTAACCATGATATAACTTTTACAATCCCTATAGCCACCCCGGTCAGTGTGCAGTGAGAGCTGTCTTCCAGGTACCCGCATGGCCAGAAAAAAGGGACAGCCTGTGTGCTGTTTCGACTGTGTCCCTTGTTCTGAGGGAAAGTTCAGCAATAAAACAGGTTGGTATTATTATATCAACTATATGTTATAATGAAAAATTAACTTGTATTTAGCAGTCATCCTGGTGCCCAGGTGATGAAGACAAGTACAATTCCTGACATGGCTCATTCAACAATACTGTCAGTGTTTACAGGTGGAAGGGACAATGTCTTTTTATTGAACAAGCAAATAATATGGTTGGTTAGGGTGGCTGTGTAGAGGGGATATGCAAGAATGGTATGTACCTCTGTGTGTGTTATGCCTGTCTACACTCTCCCCTGGCCAACTGAAGACAGTTAGTAGTGACAAGGGCTAAAAAAAATGGAAAACTGGCCATGCCAGTTAAACAGAAGGTAAAAATGGTTTAAAAAGTGAAATATCATAAATTGCAGGAATTAAGATAATCTTTCCTATTTTTTAGACTCAATGGAGTGCACCAGTTGTCCAGAGGACTTCTGGTCCAATGAACAGCGTGACAACTGTGTTCCTAAGAAAACAGAGTTCCTCTCCTACCATGAGCCTCTGGGTATCTGCTTGACAGCTGCCTCATTACTGGGCACATGTATCTGTGCTGTAGTCCTGGGCATCTTTATCCATCATCGCAGCACACCCATGGTACGTGCTAACAACTCAGAACTGAGTTTTCTGCTCTTGGTGTCACTTAAACTGTGTTTCCTGTGTTCACTGCTGTTTATCGGCCGTCCCAGGCTATGGACATGCCAGCTGAGACATGCAGCATTTGGGATCAGCTTTGTGCTTTCTGTCTCATGTATTCTTGTGAAAACCATGGTGGTTCTGGCTGTCTTCAAGGCCTCCAAGCCAGGAGGTGGAACCAGTCTGAAGTGGTTTGGTGCTATGCAGCAGAGAGGGACAGTTCTGGTTCTCACTTCTATTCAGGCAGCAATTTGCACTGCTTGGCTTGTTTCTTCCTCACCAGCTCCTCATAAAAACACTCAATACCACAATGACAAGATAGTTTATGAGTGTGTAGTTGGGTCCACAGTTGGTTTTGCAGTGTTACTGGGATACATTGGCTTACTGGCTATACTTAGCTTCCTGTTAGCATTTCTAGCAAGGAATCTTCCAGACAACTTCAATGAGGCCAAACTCATCACTTTCAGCATGCTGATTTTCTGTGCTGTGTGGGTGGCCTTTGTCCCTGCTTATGTCAACTCACCCGGCAAATATGCAGATGCGGTGGAGGTATTTGCCATCCTGGCCTCTAGTTTTGGTCTCTTGGTGGCACTGTTTGGACCCAAATGTTACATAATCCTGCTTAGACCAGAGAGAAATACAAAGAAAGCAATCATGGGTCGAGGAAACCCCAAGTCATAAAAGTAGCATTAACTGTAAAATTAGCTAGTCACCGCTTATTTTGTGACAGGTCTGCCATGTTCAAAACAAGTAGCCACTCTTTAATCCAAATATAAATCTTTATAATGAATGAAAATGTGTTTACTGTAAATAATACAATTAGAATAATGCTTTAGTATTGCCTTTTTACTGGATCACAGTCCTTGTGAGACTTTGAAATGCTTTGCTTCAATCTCAGCCTGACAACCTGAAAGATTAAATTAAACCACATTTACTATCCACGCTACTATCCACAAAGTAAAATAAATAGTAGTGGGCAGCATCAGAATAAGGGTTATGCTTCTATGAACTCAAGAAAGCTTCAATTAAGATAAGATAAGATAAAATGTACCTTTATTGATCTCCCTTATGAAAAATTTAAGTCAGACCCAACAGGGGCATGTAGTGCAAAGAGTACAGAGTGTACAAGTACAATAAGAATCACAATATAAGAATATAAACAAAATATAATAGAAGATATAAGACTATAAATGAAAAATATAAACACTATATGCAATATGTACTACAATTGAGATAGCACTGAAAAAAAAGGAAGCAGGACGGGATTCAGGTTGATGTTACATTACCTCCAGAAAAGCAGCTAAAACATCTTCATGACACCATGTATACAGTTTTTGTATTTGAGACAAACAGCAAAATGTAATCTACATACAATGTGATTTTGTGAGTTTTGTTCCCATATTGATACAGTAATAGGGAGATAGGGCAACCTTGTAGGGTTCCTTTGGAAAACCTTTGAAGGTTTCGATTTACAATAATCCACACTCTTGTTGTAGTTAATATAAAAGTCCAAAGCACTCAATAAAATTTTCTGAAACCCACACATGGAATTTTGTAAGTATTTTATTTCAGTATTTTTAGCATTAAGAGAAATATGATTTATTGTTTTGTTTTTTGGTTGGTGCTAACTTAAGGGTCTTCATTTGGTCTGACGTAACAAATTGAGGAACATACATCCTCATTAGAGGATATCCTGTGAATACCAAATAAGCATCCCCTTTTACCTTTGAAGATGAGTAAACCACACCTTTATTTAACATGTTCCGAATTATTTAAGTTATAATGAACAGTATGGGCTTTAATTTAACATAAACAAAAGAAGAAAACCATTCAAATGATTTACAAAATATATAATATGGTTTTTGGCCTCTATTTGCTGGAACACTTTTATGGCATTGCATTTGCATGTTTTTACATATTAAATAATCAATTAAATCTATATTATGTCCCGCCCCCATAGCCTGTGATGGAAGGTGTTAATGAATAAACAATGACGGAAAGCATGCAGTGGACATGACATATCCCTGCCTATAAAATTAAGCAACCTTGTATGAAGAACAGAAACGGTTGTGAAGGGAGGAGGGAAGCTATGGGAGCTTTTCTTGACGCATATTTCCTCTTGTGTGTCTACCTTATCTTGGTATGTGTCTCTTTCTCGTCTTTAAATTTTGCATATTCCTCTTTTCCCTCATCTTGTAAGTTACGGAAAAAGTTTAATCTTAATGAAGTGCACAAGCCTGGCGATGTGGTTCTAGGTGGGTTGTTTGAGGTCCACTACAGCTCTGTCTTCCCAGAACGAACATTTACCTCAGAGCCACAACAGCCCATCTGCAAAGGGTAAGTTTCACACACATACTGTATAGCGGCCAGCATGGATCTGTGCTAATTTTGCTGTCTGATCAGAGTATGCATGGTAAGGAAAAACATGTCACAATAATGAAATGCTTTTGAAACCTGAATAGCAGTAGTATGTTATTGTGTATTATGTTATTAGTTGTTTTGTTTTGTTTGTGCTTTTAGTTTTTAGTGCTTAATAATGCTATTTTGTGTGTTAGCTTTGACACTTTAGGTTTTAGGCATGCCATGACCATGGCCTTTGCTATTGATGAGATCAACAAGAACTCCAATCTGCTACCTAATGTGACTCTGGGATACAGTCTTGCTGATAACTGTGGTGCACTTGTTGTTGGATTCAGTAGTGCATTATCACTGGCAAGTGGCAGAGAAGAGCAATTTCTGCTTTGGAAGAACTGTTCAGGGACACCTCCTGTCCTGGGTATTGTGGGTGATTCCCCCTCTACATTTTCTATTGCCACCTCCAATGTGCTAGGTTTATACAAAATGCCCATTGTAAGTTTCCTGTCCTCTATATTTTGTATTGTAGTATTTTATAGACTGTATTTGAATAAATGGCGTCTTTTTAAAGTGATATATTGTTGGAATCTAAAAATATTTGCACCGGGTCTGACTTGCATGAAATGGGTAATGTGAGTTTATATGTGTATTTATAGGTAAGTTATTTTTCCACATGTTCCTGCCTGAGTGATCGGCAACGGTTTCCATCCTTCTTTAGAACAATTCCAAGTGATGCTTTTCAGGTAAATCACTATTACCCAGATGAGAAATGCAAACTATGAATGTTTCAGGCATAAATTGTCCTTTTTTTCTTAATGGGATGAATTAGGTGTGATTCCATGCATGAAATGTATTTGAATATATAATTAATATAAGTTACAATAATTTAAGTTAATTGTATATGTAGTCTCATTTCAGAGATATAATTTTCTGTGCAATAATCCCATCACACTAATATATCCACTTAGGTGCGTGCTATGATTCAGATTCTAAAACACTTTGGCTGGACTTGGGTAGGCCTGCTGGTCAGTGATGATGACTATGGACTCCATGTTGCTCGATCCTTCCAATCTGACCTGGCTCAGTCTGGTGAAGGTTGTCTGGCATACTTACAAGTTTTACCGTGGGACAGTGACCCAAGTGAACTGAGGAGGATTGTACATTTGATAAAGACATCAACAGCTCGTGTGGTCATGGTGTTTGCACATGAGTTTCACATGATTCATCTCATGGAAGAGGTTGGAATTAAATGTATATCATTTAGAAATCCGTAATTGTAAGAAACGTAATATAATGATTTTGTTTATTTGTTTCTCCAAACCAAAGTTTCTCCAGAATCCTATACATTATAATCAGTTTCATTCAAACAAAATTATCAACAAAAACTACAATTATAGTTTGATCATTGTCAGGTCAAAACTATTAATAATGTTGATAACTTATCCTGTACATATTGTCAAAAATTAAACTTGTCAAAAATTAAATTCAATTTCAATTGCTTAAAACATTTGAATAAACGTGGTTTCCATCAGGGTGCAGGCATGAAAGGACCACTACATAAAGGAATAAGACAAGTCATTTAGACATTTAGATAAAAATTGTTTAGGTTTTAAAGCAAAGATTACAAAAACGGAAGCCACTCAACTTCAGTAATGCATTTTGAGAATACCCAAACTACCCATGCATGCATGAAACGACTGCTTGTTTTTTTAAACATAGAGTCTGATATGCAGATATTAAATTAGGTGTCTGCAACTAATGACTTTTTCACACATTTGCTTACATTATTTAAAAAAAGCAGGAAAAGGAAATTGTTGCAGACAATATTTGCCAAAAAGCAGACACAAGTATGATATATTTTATATAATGTTACACAGGTGGTGATGCAGAATGTAACAGGCCGGCAGTGGATAGCCAGTGAAGCTTGGACATCAGCTGCTGTGCTCCAGACACCCCGCATCATGCCGTACCTAAGCGGCACATTAGGCATCGCCATCCGTCGAGGAGAAATACCAGGGCTTAGGGAATTCCTTTTACAAATACGTCCTGACCAAAATGACAGCAACAACTATAATTTGGTAAGATCTTGACATCTGAAATAATGTTTTTAATTGTTAAATCATAACAATTTGATCTAAAATAAATTATAAAATATATTAGCATATTGTAATTTCAATACTGACTTTACAATACACTGTATTTCAGGTGAGGCAGTTTTGGGAATCCACATTTCAGTGTAGATTTGATCCAGCGGGTTCAGTGGAAGCAGAGGGACCACTATGT